GGATGTAAACCCATGGTGTAAACCCATCAGCCAATTTTTTCTCTTGCATCCCCTTGCTTGGTTTACTAACTAGCTGGGTGAAGAGTTCTGGAGAACTAAATAAAACCATGTGCTGTTTTATACTGCTGAACTATAGTCTGAGTAGGTATACGAAGGGTGTAAGGAAGCAGCAATTCCTGCCCTATCCTGGGTTTATGGCAATCATCACTGATTCCATTCAGCTACAGTTTTGCTTCTGCCAAAACCTATGCTATCCATCTTGCTATCTGCTATGGCTGAAACTTACATTGTTACATTATGTAATTTATTTCAGTGCAAGAGAATTGTCTAAAAGTTCTTTTTAAAAGGAATGTCACCTCTGAAGTCAGTGGTAGAAAAACACAGTGGCGTAGCGTGGGTTGTCAGCACCCGGGGCAAGGCAAGTAATTTGTGCCCCCTAACCCGTGGATTTTAGCACTCGAGTCTCTTCCGCCGCCCCCCCCCCAGATGTTGCGCCCGGTGCGGCCACCCCCCTGCACCCCTCACACTACGCCACTGGAAAAACAACTAGATTTCTCCTAGCTTTTCTAGAAAACAACCACAGCAAGGGACTAGAGATTTATTGCACATTTCATCTCCTGATAAAGTTTTCAATTTTCTGGGCATATTATATTTTCCCTAATATAATGTGTTTTTATATGCTTCTTTTCATGAGTGTCTTCATTTTTATGCACACTTACACTTTTGTAAACATAGTTTGGAGAACTGAATCACAAAATCCAGATAAATGCAAATTTTGAAAGATAGCCGTGTTTGGATTCTCATATTACTTTGGAAAGTGTGGATTTGATAGATTTGTCTTGAAATGCCTGCCAAGTCACATTTCTCCTCCATCTCCTCCACATGACACACCACTGCGGAGAGGGAACTCTGCATCTTTGGTATGCCAATATTCCATGTATGTTACACAAAGAATGATTGTTATTAGGCAGCTGCCAAATACAGTAAATAAATTAGTCTTGGAGGGTAATGGGCACTGCCAAGGCATGACTCCTCTGAGCCTCATACAAACTTGTAACATGGACCCCTCTTTCCCTCTGTATTCCTCTCCTTTTCCTCTTTTGAAAGATAGATTCCATTGCCCCCCAGTGGAAATGGAGATCTGCTTTCCTGGCTATTCATGCTCTGAATGCTCATTTAAACGCTTGAATGCAGGAAAGCTATCCATCCGCGACAGAACGTTTTCCTCCACTAAGGGTCAGCAGAAGCACAGCCAATGGCCAGAGACTGGTTCTAACCGAACTAGCGTCTGGTAGCAAAAAAGAACGAGACAATGAGGTGCATCAAACCCAGGAAGGCACTTATAGGGCTGCCACATTTCAAAAAGTTTTAAGGAAAACCCGGAAGTTGTTGAGCCAAAAATGCCCCCCAAAATGTGATTTTTCAATTGACTTGCCTAAGATCCGGGACAAAGCGCGCCACCTTTCGGAAATTCCCTCCAGGACGTCAATTCCTTTGAAATCCCGTTAATGTGCGGGAAGATCTGGACGTATGGCAGCCCTAACTTCACATATCTGGTTTGGTTATCTGAATAGCAACTGCAGAGGGGGCTGCTTTGGATTTGGGACCATGACACAGGGGGAGGGGGGTGAATCATAGAATCATAGAATCATAGAGTTAGAATAGACCACAAGGGCCATCGAGTCCAACCCCTGCCAAGCAGGAAACACCATCAGAGCACTCTTGACATATGGTTGTCAAGCCTCTGCTTAAAGACCTCCAAAGAAGGAGACTCCACCACACTCCTTGGCAGCAAATTCCACTGTCGAACAGCTCTTACTGTCAGGAAGTTCTTCCTAATGTTTAGGCGGAATCTTCTTTCTTGTAGTTTGGATCCATTGCTCCGTGTCCGCTTCTCTGGAGCAGCAGAAAACAAGCCTTTCTCCCTCCTCTATGTGACATCCTTTTATATATTTGAACATGGCTATCATATCACCCCTTAACCTCCTCTTCTCCAGGCTAAACATGCCCAGCTCCCTTAGCCGTTCCTCATAAGGCATCCTTTCCAGGCCTTTGACCATTTTGGTTGCCCTCCTCTGGACACGTTCCAGTTTGTCAGTGTCCTTCTTGAACTGTGGTGCCCAGAACTGGACACAGTACTCCAGGTGAGGTCTGACCAGAGCAGAATACAGTGGCACTATTACTTCCTTGATCTAGACTATACTCCTATTGATGCAGCCCAGAATTGCATTGGCTTTTTTAGCTGCCGCGTCACACTGTTGGCTCATGTCAAGTTTGTGGTCAACCAAGACTCCTAGATCCTTTTCACATGTACTGCTCTCAAGCCAGGTGTCACCCATCTTGTATTTGTGCCTCTCATTTTTTTTGCCCAAGTGCAATACTTTACCTTTCTCCCTGTTAAAGTTCATCTTGTTTGTTTTGGCCCAGTTCTCTAATCTGTCAAGGTCGTTTTGAAGTGTGATCCTGTCCTCTGGGGTGTTAGCCACCCCTCCCAGTTTGGTGTCATTTGCAAATTTGATCAGGATGCCCTTGAGTCCATCATCCAAGTCGTTGATAAAGATGTTGAATAAGACCGGGCCCAAGTCAGAACCCTGT